TTGGAGGACTTCACTCGCACTTTGATCACCATCATTAGTGGTTGAAATAGCCTTTGTGTTAAGTGTACAGACAGTCTCAGTGTCTGTTTTAAACAGAGCACGTAGCAAACCACACAGGAGGGGGAGAAAACAGAACATGAAATTTGAAACACCTCCCGTCCCCCAGGTTGAGGGGAAGAGCGTGGAGAATAGGGGTGCTGTGCCGAGGCTTATGTCTGAGAAGGTTCCTCATTCAGGCAGAAGGCCCTAGCGCAGCCTTGGGGCAGAGGCGTGCAGCCTGATTGACTGGCTTTCCTTTGGCTGTTTGTGCGGCTCACTCTTCCCCTCCTACTGAGTCACGTCCTGTCTCTTTACCATGCCCTCGGGACCCATCTTTTCCCTCTACCTGGGACTCCACACCCTGCAGTGAGGGGAGCCACGTGCCTGGGCTCTCACCAAGTTTCAGAGAAGCCAGGACCAAGGAGGATTCTTAACCAACCCTACCCAGCTCTGGGGCGAGCTTTGCTGGTCAGTGTGATTTTGAAGTCGAGCAGTATGTGCCAATCTCTGCTCCCCTCCAGTGACTCTCAGGAGCCACGTGCCCCAGGAGCTTGTGTTTGATCTTGATCTGTGCTGCAGCAAGCCTGCGTGCTGAGACCCGTTCCTCTCCCCAGAGTGCGCCTTGATAGGAGTCCTCCGCCTCTCTGGATTCCGGTCACATTTAGTAACTGCATGGAACTGCACAGCAAAGTGAGGGCTGATGGAATCTGAGCCCACTCCTTCACTCCCTCTGTCTTTTGTCATGCTATTAAAAAAATGTTCTCCTCACAATGCCTCTCATTCATGCATTATCTGTGACTCGAGTCCCTTCACCTCTTCCTTATCACCCCACCGTATGCTGAGTGCCAAGGACCTCTGGGCAAACCCCCTGTTTCTCATCTGGATTCAACCTCTTAGCAGCTCCTGGAATGTATCAGGCCTCCCTTTCTAACGGCGGGCCTTTTGCACACGCAGGCCCTGCTGTCGAGTGCATTTCATGGTCTCTTCCCCCCTTCTTCCTTTACCTTCCTCTTTGCCCTTCAGTCTCAGCTTGAATGTCACCCCCTTTAAGACCCTGCACCCCACGAGAGCCCTTCTTCTGTACTTCTAAACACTTACACATAAACCGACCCAGCCAAACCCACTGCAGTCCAGTTGGTTTTCACAGCAACCCTGCAGGACAGAGTAGAACTGCCCCAAGGGCTTCCAAGACCGCACTCCTTGGAAGCAGACTGCTTGGGCCCTGGAGCTGCCGGTGGGTTCA